GCTGTTAGGTGCGTGACAGCACTGACAGTTGCGTCACGCAACTCCAATCAAGATGACGTCACCATGAATGCCGACATAACTGTTTTTCATTCTGTTTGATTACATGGCAATGGTCCAGAAAGTGAGCTGCGTCACGCAACTATCGGGTCCGTCACGCAGCTATAGCTGCATCACGCAGCTATCCCTTGTTGCCCTACCTCTATAAATACAGCGTTATTTCTATACAAGCGTTATTCTCCTATTGTTACAAAGAATTTTTTTAGGGCCGGTTAGGAAAAAATACCCACTTGCAGGCTAGGTTTTTCTACAAAAAACCTCTTCTTGAGTTTCTCTTGAAAGAAAAACAAACTATATAGAATCTGTGAAACCCCCTTCCCAAAAAACACATAGGCATATTTTAATGCACATGATGAATGAGAAGAAATGCACGACTGATGTGTGTGAGTCGCCACCTTGTTTAAACTTATTTTAGGGGTAAACTAGGAAAAAAACCCTATGTGACTCCAATTTTAATAACCTAGTTGCTAGATTAATTTTCCCAAATGTTTAAGCACAATCTTAACAAACCCGAGATGGATCCCGAGACTATGTCAGCTGAATTGAAACACTAACGATGAATGATGTTTTTGCAAGGTGAATGATGTATTTGGCACCAAATGGAAAGGTTATGTGATTTTGACTTGCCACACCCGGGATGGAAATCCCGAACGTTGCCTTAACGTTACTTCCGTTGAATGGAAGATCAAAGTCAACGATAGTCGATGGGCTTTGAAGGTGTATGCTTAATGCATGAGTGTGTATGCTTTGTGCATGAGTGTGTATGCTTTGTGCATGAGTGCGTATGCTTTGTGCATGAGTGCGTATGCTTTGTGCATAAGTGTGTATGCTTTGTGCATAAGTGCGTATGCTTTGTGCATTTTGTTTAGGTATTCTGCCAAAGATTGATTGATTTTTAGGCATGTTGCCAAAAATGTTGATTTTAATGGCTTTTAGCCAAAATGATTTTTGATTTAGGCAATTGTTGCCAAAAATGTTGATTTTAGGCGATTTTCGCCAAAATGGTTGATTTTAAGGCCTTTGGCCAAAATGAGTTGATTTGAATGATTAAGCTTTTAGCCACAATTATTTTGATTAATTGGACTAAGCCGATTTGTTCGGAAATAGGCAATTGAACCGTAGTTATTAATTAACTAATAGGCTCTTTTAGCCAAATATTGTCGGATTTTAAACTTAATACCACGATTATTTGGATTAACGGCATTAGTTAATCAAAATTAATTAGGCAGTTTAATTTACCAAAAAAATAATGACGTGGATGCAATTTATGCAATTGGTAGAATTATTAGAGTTTAGAAGAGACAATATACATTTGACCAAGCTGCTAAAATTAAATAGGCAGAGTTTTGTTTACATACCTGATTTAATCGAACGGACGCTTCTTAACTCCAGATTAAGCTCCTCGCTTTAGGAAATATTAATTAATTTTGAATTTGTTTAATTTTTAATTGTCCAAATATCACAATAAAAATGCAATTTAAAATTAAATTAAATGCAAAAAAGCAGCGTAAAAGAAAACGCAGGAGCGTTGAGAGGGAGAAGATTCGTCCGTTCCCAAACACAGATCCGGGGCTGCCAAAATGGACTGAAATGGCCTATTTATAGGCCATTTTCGGGTCCCGGGCGGCACTGGCCGCCCGGCTTTCTCGGAGGCCGGCAAGCTGCCGCCCTGTCGGTGGGGCGGCAGGCCCCGCCCACGCTGGGCGGGGGTGCGCCTGGGAGCGCGGCAGCTGCCGCCCAGTCGTGGGGCGGCAGCCCCGCCTGGTCTGGGCGGCAGGTTGCCGCCCAGGGCGTGGGGGGCCAGAGGCCCCGCCTGCGCGGGGCGACAGGCCCCGCAGCGCGCTGGGCGGCATCCTGCCCGCGCGGGGCGACAGGGGCTCCGCGCGCGCTGGCAAGACTGGCCTTCGGCCCGCGCGCGCGGCAAGCCCCCGCCTGTGCGAGGCGACAGGCCTCGCAGCTGCGCGCGCTGGCGGCGGGCGGCAGCCTCCCCGCGTCGGGGCGGGCAGCCCTCGCCCCGCCCTGGGCGGCCAGCCTTGCCTTAGGAAGTGCGGCGGCAGGTGCCCGCCCAGGCGGGCGGCTGCTGCCGCCGTGGTCCCGTGCGGCCGCGACCGCCCGTTGGCGGTGTTGACACCGTGCTTCGCTCCGGGGGCCTTTTGGGAGTTCGGACCTCTGAAAAATTATTCCGGACCTGTTCCGCGATCCCTCGCGGGGATATTCCGGACGTTTTAAGTACAGTATTTGTGTTCCGCGATCCTCGCGATATTCCGGACGTTTTAAGTACCATATTGACATATTTTCGATGAACTTCCGAAATAGCCTCCTGTCCGGCCGGACTGTCTAGCTTTCTAAGCCTCAAAATTTGGGTATTCACAACATCAAATAGGTTAAAACGAAAATCATAAAAAAGGAAAAGAAAATAAGAGAGAAAAGGGGTGAGTGTTAAATCCTTGTGAACAAAGGCCTCTGGAATCCCTGAACCTTCGTTCTTCAAGACGTTCAAGTTGTTAACGATCCTCAATCTGAGGGCTAGGTAATTCTCCTAAACTTTTCTTAGTATTTTTAGTTGTTTATTCATTGTAATTTATTTTATCATTGCTTTAGTAGTTTAATCTTAGTTAAACGGTATTCTGCTCACTCTTAGGTGTTGTTGGATTATATGAAAGCATGTTTAAACAAAAGAAAAACGTAAAAAGGTTGTTTGAAAAGTAAATACAGACCAGAGCAGTTGCGTCACGCAGCCAGTAGTTTCGTCACGAACCTGGCAGTTGCGTGACGGAACTATTCATGTCCAAAACACAGTTGCTCTATCCAGATTAGTTGCGTCCCGCAGCTATTAGATCCGTAACGAATCTAATGGTTGTGTGACGGAACTGTTCATACTCATAATTTTATTTTCTGTTTAATATTATATTTTTATTTATGGATTTGAAATAAAGGGTTGGCGGATCTAGAAGTTTTTCAAATTATGAACAGCTGCGTCACGCAGCTATGGGATCCGTCATGCAACTGTTCTTCCATAGAACAGCTGCGTGACGCGACTGGCGTGACGCGGACTGGTTCTAGGGTTCACAGGAAGCAATTTTGTTCTTTTGTAAAACACTTGAACGAATTTTGTACAAAAAATAAAACTTTAGTTCTTAAAATACAATCTTGAAGACAACAATTGTGGGCAGATTACAATTTACGCTAAAGTTTTAGGACACTAAAGGATACACTAAAGGATAATTATACATGATTTTAGGGTTTTGGTTTTCGGGTTTAATATTTTCAGGGTAGAATGTATTTCTTAGGTCTGGTTTGTGGCCTGCCTTTAACTATAAGGCAAGAGCGGGTATTTTGTTTATTTTGATTTAACTCTTTAACCATAAGGCAAGAGCGGGTCTTTTGTTTATTTTGATTTAACTACCTTGGGTTGAATGGTTTGAATGATTTGAATGATTATGAATGCAATAAATGAACTTGTTTGCGGACGATTAAATAATTTTCCACATAGGAACTCGATTCGTTTTATTCGGGTTGGGTTTGAATAAATAAATTGGCTTTTCTAACTAAAATAAATTAGAAATAGTAGGTTAAAAGAGGCCAGTTTTTTCGGACATCGGCTTCCAACGGGCCGACGTACCCAATTCCCTTACCCAGGATCGCCTTGGTGCACCTAACCAGTTTTCAAAATAATTTGGCCTTAAATGAAATTGGGTTTAATATGAAGTCATTCTTAAATAAAATTGGAAACGGTCCCATTCTCGAAAAAATGGGTGGCAACTCAAAATGCTTTTTACAAGATCGATTTATCGGCATCGTATCCAAAGTGTTTTGTCACCACTGGCTCAAAATAGAAATCACCTTTTTTTATCAAAACTCAAAAGGGACAAGTTTTTCGGATCGCTCGGGGGCGATGCGAAAACAGACCAACACTAAATCTCCATTTTTCAAAGCCCTTGGGTGTACTCGCTTATTGTAGAAACGAGCAATCCTTCTTTTTCTCATCTGATCCTGGAATCTGGTCCCCTGGGAATCTGCATGTCAATTTCTTCCATACCATCTAAAAGCGGCCAGGATTCCTTCAAGATGACCTTTGTTTTCTTGAACCCACTCTTCTTCGGTCCAGACCAAACTGTCCACAAGAACCCCTGAGAGACTTCTTTTCAAGCCTTCTACTGGTAACAACTGCATCCATCCCGTATACAAGCTCGAAAGGAGAAGCTCCATTCACTGTCAAGCTCGAAAGGAGAAGCTCCATTCACTGTTTTGAAAGTGGTTCGGTGCCCCCAGAGCGCGAAAGGAAGTTTCTCAGCCCAGCTTCTATACTTCTCGCACATTTTGGACAAAATTCTTTTAATCTCCTTATTGGCGGCTTCCACTGCCCCATTGGCTTGAGGTCGATAAGGAGACGAATGATGATGCTCAACCTTATATCTATATAACAATTGGCCGACGTCTACTTGAAAGTGAGAACCATTGTCTGTAACTATGTGATGAGGAACACCATAGCTACAGAAAATGTTCTGCTCAATAAATCTGGCCACCTGTTTGGCAGTCAAAGTCTTATACGATAGAGCTTCAATCCATCTGGAAAAGTAGTCCACGGCGACCAAGATATACTGATGACCATTCGATGCTGCCGGCGTGATCTTGCCAATAATATCTATGCCCCAAGCTGAAAAAGGCCAAGAAGGAGTTGTTGGATGAAGGAGTTGTTTGGATGGAGTTTAACAGCAGGCAGGTGATTTTTTGTTATCATTGTGGTACTGGCAGGGCTTTACAATGGACGAACATAGTTGACACAGTAGGTCGACCTTCCATCTTGCAATCCCAAAGTAGCTTGCCTCATAATCTTTCTATGCCAAAACCTCAATGCCGCTCAAAATGAGTACCTACAGACTCCCTTCATGGATCTTCTTCATTATCTCTTCTCCGTCCTTCTTGTCCTTGTCTACGCATTCTTAGCAGGCATTCTTCTTCATTATCTCTTCTCCTTCTTTCTTGTCTACGCATCTTAGCAGCATTCCATCCCAAGCTCTCCTATACAGTTCACCATCGGCTAGGACATAGTTCAAAGCCATCTTTTGTAGAACAGATCGATCTTCTTTTGTTGCATCATCAGAGAAGGTTCCATCTTTCATGTACCGCAGAATATCCGTAAACCAAGGTTCTTCCTCTGACCCAACCTGATTCACAAAATGTTCTTCATAGCATGGGATATTTGCTGCGGTAATGATAAATGGCTTCTTTGGAAGCTTATTCAAATCTTGCCACGCTGAGGCTAGATTTGCCAAAGCATTCGGGATTCTGTTATGAGTCCTACCTTTGTGAGTAAAAGTGATCTTGTCAAAGAGTGCTGCTTTCTTTTACAAGTATTCAACATAGGGCTTCAACCTATCTTCTTCAACTTTCCATCTTTCATTAGCATGTTCGATAACTAACAATGAGTCTCCTATCACCTCAACCTCCTTAGCACCTGTTGCAAGAAGAGATTCAATTCCCATTATACACGCTTCATACTCCACCATATTATTGGTGACTGAGAACAACAACCTTTTGCACATTATTGTCACCTTGCCATTGGGTGCTTCTATCACGACACCGGTGCCAGTTCCATTTCTATTGGCCGATCCGTCAAAGTATAGTTTCCAAACCCCTGTTTCAACGCACAGCAAGTGTTCATCTGGAAATTCTAGTTCCCAAGGTTCATCATCTGCAATGGGATTCTCAGCCAGGAATTCTGCAACAACCCGACCTTTGACCGTCTTCTTCATGACAAACTCTGCATCTACACTGGACATACGCACTGACATACTAAATTAACGCCATTTGGACAACTGACCTTTTAGAGTAAGGTGTTTTCCTGAGGATTACTTCATAGGAATCAATTTTAGAAAGCAAAAGGTGGGCCGCTGAAAGAATTCGAAATAAAAGGCCCTCAGCTTCTTGATACGACCATACCAACTGGCCATCCAGTCTTCTTCTATCAATAATTGTACTCTCCTCAATAGGCAGTATTTCTTGCTGATGTAATAGATGCTCTTTTCTACTCAGCAATGTCTTGGTTTGGTGACCAACATTTGGGTCCATACTCCTGCATCTCTCCAGACAAGTAACAGACAAGTACAGAATCAAAGGTTCTCCTGGTCTAGGAGAGCTTAACACTGGTGGATTCATCAAGTACTCCTTTATATGGTCAAAGGCCTTTTGACAATCCTTGTTCCATTTGACCGGCTGATCCTTCCTAAGCAACTTGAATATCAGAGCACAAGTAATGGATAATCTAGAAATGAACCTGCTGATGTACTGGATCTTCCCAAAGAAGCTTCTCACCTGACGCTCTGTTCTAGGTGGTTCCATGTCTTGAATGGCTTTTATTTTGTCTGGGTCAATCTCAATCCCGTTAGGTCCCACAACAACAACAAAACCTAAACAACTACCCCTCATCACTCCCAAATATGCACTTTTTGGGATTGATCTTAAAATTGTACTCGTTTGACTCGCCGCGAAGAACTTTTCCCAAACATCTCCGTATGTTTCCTTTCCTTGCTTTTTGTCAAATGATCACCATAATCATCCACATATACCTCCAAACCTTTTGGATCAATATCATGAAACAAGGTTGTAAGCCATTTTTCTGATATGTTTGATATGTTGCCCCAGCATTCTTCAACCCAAACGGCATCACCCTATAATAGAAGGTCCCGAAATCAGTGGTGAAGGCAGTCTTATGCTTATCAACTAAAGCCATCAGGATTTGGTTGTACCCAGAGAATCCGTCCATAATGGAATAACATCCATTCTTGCAGCACTGTCGATCAGAACATCTATATGTGGAAGTGGGAAGTCGTCTTTGGGCAAGGCTTTGTTTAAGTCTCTGTAGTTGTTTTTGCCCAAATCCCCCCCGGAGGATCCGAAAAACATCATTTTAATTTTTATTATTTTTGGATTGGAAAAAGGTGACAAAACCTTTTTAAACACGCGATGCCGATAAATCGGTCTTATAAAACATTTTGAGTCGCCACCCATTATTTCGGCAATGGGACCGTTTCCAATTTTATTTTATTAACAAAAGTGACTTCATTTAACCCAATTTTATTTAAAGGCCAAATTATTTTTTAAAAATACCTGGTCAGGCGCACCATGCGCGAGTCTGGGTAAGGGAATTGGGGTACGTCGGCCCCGTTGGAGCCGACGCCCAGAACCGGCCTTGTTCAACCACAAACTTTAAGTTGATTTTATTTTAGAAAAGCCAAAATTATTTAATTAAACCAACCACATTGAATCGAACCCGAGCTCCTATGTGGAAAATTAATTAATCGCCCCAAAATAGATTCATTCATTGCATTCATAAATCAATCAATAATCACATCAATCATCCACCCATAGTAAAAAATAATTTTTAAAAGACCCGCTCTTGCCTTATGGTTAAAGGCGGGCCACAAACCGAATTTAAAATACAATTTACCCAATAATAAATTCAATTAAATTCTAAAAATCCAAAATCAATATATAATAGTATTTAACTCTATCTGAATGATTAAAACATTAATATTGCCCTTTATTGGTTATTCCTGAATTAAAAATAAAATAATTTATTTAATTACTCAAAATTAAATAAAAAAGGGCAAAATTATTCTGAAGCCTAGAACAGTCGCGTCACGCCAGCTGTTCTAAAATAAGGAACAGTCACGCAGCTGTTCTATGAAGAACAGTTGCGTGACGGAACTCCTAGCTGCGTGACGCATCTGTTCGTGACTTTATCAAAAATTTCCAAATTTATTAATTACTCATTTAAAACGTAATATTAAATAAAAACATAAAAATCGAATAAAAATCACGCACACGAACAATTCCGTCACGTAGGTGGTCCAAGCAAAATCAACCCCTTTTGTACATGAACGGTTGCGTCACGCATGTAGTAGCTGCGTGACGCAGCTGCTTTAGTCCATAACTACCTTTCAAACTACCCTTCTTACGTGTTCTTTTTATCAACAGTTGTTTAATAATACTCAAAAATGTCCAAAAATGGGCAGAATATTACTTAATCAACACCAAACTAATCAAATACTAATAAAACAAGATATTTAATCAATACACAATTAAAAAATAAAGAGGAGGGTTTAAATAGTTACCTAACCCTCAGATTCGAGGATTGCATGCGGTTTAAATGATTTAGGAATAGAGCTTCACGATCCCAGAAATGTTTGTTATCAAGTTTTAACAATAAAAGCTTTCCTTTCTTTTCTTTTCTCTCTTTTTCTCCTTTTTTATGACTTTTGGTTTTTGTGTTTTTAATCTATTATCTCTAACGGCTTGATCTTCCTCAAGGTAACTCGCTGGAGCTCTTGGGGAAAACCCTAGCCTCACTAAGATTTCTCTAAGTCCAAAGAATGCCAAAGTCTAGAGAGAAGTCCCTTTTAAAGAGTGAAAATGTTGTATTTATATGGGTAGGGCAACAGAACAGAGCTGCGTCACGCAACTAACAGCTGCGTGACGGACCCGTGAGCTGCGTGACGGACCCGTGAGCTGTGTGACGCAGCTTACTTTTCGTACAGTTGCTGCGTATCCATACAAACAGTGCAGACCGTTACACGGGCCTGTCCAAGTGATGTCATCTTGGTTAGAGTCCTGTCCAATCATCTTGGTTAGAGTTGCGTGACGCAACTATGAGTGCCATCACGCAACTTATAGCTGCGTGACGCAACCCTAGCGTAGGTCAGACCCTTTGGACCAGTTTGATTCAATTTTTTGGTTAAAAACACTTCTGGTTAACCCTGATTCTTTATTCCTCATCCCTATATCATCGCCGGGTTAGGTGGGGGCATAAAATTACGCATCAACAGTAGTCGACACAAACTCTTAATCTCCCATCCTTCTTAAGCACCGGGACGATGTTTACTAACCACTCGGGGTAATGCACTACCTCCAAGAAGCCTGCACCTAACTGCTTCTGAACCTCAGCCTTGATCTTGTCTTGCCATTCTAGTCTGACCCGTCTTCTCTTCTACTTTACTGGCTTAATATTCGGATCAGTAGGGATGAAATGTTCTGCAATTGACCTGTTGATCCCTGGCATGTCAGCATAACTCCAAGCAAAGACTTCTGAATTTCTCTTGAGACATTCTTAGAGATCCTTTCTGAGCTCAAGCTTAAAGTCTCTTAAAGAGAATCCTTTCTGAAGCCTCAAGCTTAAAAGGTCTGATCCGATTTCGATTATTTTGGGATCTTCGGCGGTGCTTTTAGGTTTAAGTGCAAAAATGATGCAATGAATTTATGTCAAATATGCGCGTGGTTGTAAAATCAATGCCATGAACGTGAAACAATCAGGAAAACAGAAAACAAAGAAAACAAAGTAATCAAAATTCACTTCCATTGATTTGCAAATAAATTAAAGGGAAACCATCCAAAATCAAAGTTCTCAAACAATAATCAGAAAAACAAAAAAACAGGATTTGTAACTTGTTCAATACATCATTCACAATATCCTTGATGGCTTGAACCACCTCATCGGCTTAAGAAGCAACCTCGGTTTCTAGGGCCAGCTTTCTCTTTCATCTTCAGCATCTTCCTCCCCGCTTCTTCTGCATCTTCTCTGCTTCTAAGCAATGACTGAGGCAGTCCCTTGCCTGGACTTCTGCTCTGGACCAACTTTGAAGCTTCATTCCCCAATCCCCGATTGAAGCTTCATCCCCAATCCCGAGAAAATCTTCAAATTCAGGCATCTTCTGTGACCAGTCTGTGCCACTGCCTGCTTGGACCATGCCAATCATGAATTTTGTTCCGTCTGTCAATTGCTCAAAGGAAGGCTCTGGAGACTTTATGAGCTGCTCTTCAAAATCTGTCATGAAGATCTCCAAGCCTGGATATGTCTTCCCTCTGCTCTGAAATTTTCCGGAAGCCTCTGGGGTAAAGAAAATCCTAGTCAGTCCTGGTTCTTTTATCGGAGACTGGACTTCATACTTCTCTTTCTTTCGACACTCTGAGTACCCCAGTCTGCGTCGGTCTTGTTGACCAAGTGATGATGGCACAGGTTCAAATCTTCCTTGTAAATCTCAGCCTAGCCCCTTACCATACTTCCATTGCATCTTCTTCATCATTTTACGAGAGAAAGGGCTCATCCTGTTGACTGCACTTTTGTCTTCTATGATTGCAGCATCATCAATCATAGCCACCTGAAAACCAGATAATCCTGAAACCAAGATAAAGGCACAGTCGGCCTTCTAAACGCTTCCAACTGTAGCCACATTCAGATCTTCTTTGGGCATTAACTAGTTTTACCACATCAATGCCCCAAGGTATCGTAACTTTCCCTGTGCAATGTGGAAGGAATTGTGCACCAAGATGGAGCCATGGCCTTCCCAACAGCAGAGCATAATTGGCCCAAGATGTCCCAAGACTACCTATGGTCCACCCACTTTAGTATCATTCCGTGTCGAAAATTCTTTACCCCTGAAGGTTTCCCCTAGCGCTACGCATCATGGTGTTATCATAGGCTTTAACAACCATGTTAGATGGCTCGAGTTTCGACTATTCAATCTTAAATTTGGGCAACATCTTCAGCGGGCATACACACAATGCCGACCCGTTATCCACCATCACATTGCGGGTTTCACATCCATTAACAACAACCTAGATGTATAGAGGTTTGAAGTGATTCCTACCTTCGGGGGGAAGATCTGAATCAAAGAAGGTGATCTCACCAATCCTACGCTGTAGCACATTGATCATATCCACGCTCTGGATTCTGGCAGGAACCCTAACAAACGTCATAGCCTCTAACAAAGATTCTCTATGCTCCTTTGAGGCTATCAAGATTCTCTAATGCTGCCTTTGAGGCTATCAAACAAATCCCATAAGTGAGGATGTCAGCGCTTGGGTGCCTCTATAGCTGACTTAGTACTGAACTTGCTGTTACGGCCGCTTTGGTAACTCTATTTTGACTACTTTCAGCACCACTTGCAGTAGCCTTCTTATGTGCTTTTAAGACCCTCCTACCCGTTTCATCTTCCTTTTTCTTCTCCTTGGGCTGTTCTTCACCCTTATCTGCTGTTTTCTTTCCTGCCCCCTCGATGACAACTCCTTTTCCCTTGGCCTCGGAATTGTTGTCCGGGTTGTACACTCGACCGCTGCGGGTCAAACTCTGAATGCCCACTTCATTCACATCTTCATCACTGCTATAATACCATTGGTCTGCTTGATCAGCCAGACTATTTTGGATTGCAAGCTGAACCTGCTCATCTTCGCTTTCTGGTACTTCACCTGCCTTAACTGTAATGCTTCTTTCTATTTCAACCTTTACTGGTTTCTGTTCTGCTTCCTCCTCACTGCTGCAATCATCCCAGATGTTCAACATGGCACACATCTTTTCTTCCAGCTCTGCCTCTGCCAACACCAACTCTTCAGGCAGCCCACTCCCAATTGCATTAACTGATCCGCCCGTTTGA